TAGCATTTTTAAAAGCAATATTAATCGTAGTAAACATGCACATGCTAAGTAACAAAGTCCTGCAGCGTGGTCAGATGACCACAAAAGGGCTCGTGCGTAGTGATGGCGTTGATATACGCAGTGAGGATGGTAGTCACCTTATTTATATCTGATCTCATGTAACTCTACAGAACGCTGATGTAAGACAACACGGCCGCTTTAGGTACACTCTTGGCACCATTTTTTTATTTTTCGTATTGAGAATGCAGCCCGTAGAAGCTCCCCCCTGCTGTGGGAACACAAGGCGCGCGCAGATCATTGCCGTGATAGCTCGACAACCATGGGCGCCTCCCCCTGCCCCCTTGTTCGCTCAGGAGCTTACGAGATAAGCGGTCAAGCAGCCGGCCCCGGCCGGAAAGGCGATGTTCACTCCGCAGAAACAGAAAGCTAGCGCATCCTTCCCCGTATATATATGCATACGCATACATATACGTGAATGACAGCGGTGGCGGCGAAAAACCAGCCGAGACTGTCCATATAATTGCTATCGCATTTAAAAAACCACACCATAAAAAAAAACACATTAAACGCGCCTCCTCGTGGTAGCCGGGCGCGTGAGGCGATACTCGCTGTTTTTTTTGGGGAGCGCGGCTATTGGGACGGCCGGAGAGAACAACGCTACGCACCCGCAATCTCGGAGGCCATGCCCAAAGCATGACGTGAATGAAGGCCTCCGAAAAGGGCCCAACGGCCCGCGGTCGACAATTTCGGAGACCAAGCACGACCACTATAACTTTCGGCGATCTGGTGCTGTTTGGACCAGCAAAAAGCTTATTGAGCGACCATCTGTGATACTCTGTGCGAGTGCGCGTTGTGAAATCTTTATTTTTTACTCTCTGATTCTTCTCCCCATCAGTAGGCAAGCAAGCTGGGCGCTAGTTCATCTCCCTGCCTATCCTCCATTCTGTCTCTTTGCCGCCTTCTTACAAGCGAAAAGTTCTGCAAAATATGAAGCGTCGAGGAAACGTTTCAACATGGAGGATTGTTATAGTTCGGACCTCAACAAAACTCAACAGAGGAGTCCCCCCCACCCCTCTTTGCCGAATCGACTACAGCGACAATTCCTCTTCATTTCATTCTAATGTTTCATTCAGCAAAGCTAATTGAGACGGTATTTACAAACTGCCGAATGACTGTGCCAAATTCAAAGTTTTGGCATACACTTTAGTTTGACAACTTAGCTAATTATGAATCCTGCAACAAAGAGTTGTGTTCTCAAAGGTTGGATATTACAAATAGCGTCATTTGAGCTACTGGAACACTTTGAATTATTTTGCCACTTCCGTTTAATGTTATCTGGTCGCATGGCATGTAATACTGCAGTTATTGCATTTTGATGCTGTACAGGCATTGTAGCTTGAACATTCACTCTGCAATAATAACTGTAGAATAACGTATCTAATTAACTACTTTGGCAAAAAGGGGTTCCAATAAGCATGCACCGATTTCATGCAAAAAACAGCAAAAAATTTTGCATGACATTATAAGAATGTCTAGAAAAAGACTTTTAATAATGCAGTGGGATATGTTAGGTATCCAGCAATGCCTTTAATAAAATGGGATTACTTCGAATGTTAAATTATGCTCCGAACTTATAGAAGAATAAGGAGGCGGTCTTCGTCGATGCAGCATGCTATCGAAACTATCGCCCTTTTGTTTCTGCAGTGATCGTACAAATCACGTGGATACAGCAGAGGAGGTCGCTATCGCGCTCACCATAGCTCATACCGATGCCCAGTATATTATCAGTGATTCACAAACAGCAGTTCGAAATTTCGCAAATGGTAGGATTTCTCCAGTGGCGCTGAAAGTCCTTACAAAAGGCAAAGCCCGCTCTGACGACCAAATTGCATGCATTCTCTGGTTTCACGCCCACACACCCGTCGACCACACGGAGCTCAACCTTACCGAGGTGGTGCAAGACGTGGCTCGAGGTCTCACGTTCCGGGCAACGTCAGTGGTTGACACCACCCGTACGGACTCTCTTGTGGAGGAGTGGGAGTGGGGGGATAGACTTACCAAATTCAACGACATTATCCAACAATATACACTTCAACGGCGGGAATACTTCTCGCCTCACCCCAAGCTCAACCGGGCCCAGTCCGTTCAATGGCGGCAATTACAAACAGGCACCTACACTAATCCCGTAATTGTGAAACACATTTACCCCGACTTGTATATGACCAATTCGTGCAAGTATTGTAGTAATAGGGCCACATTAGCGCATATTCTCTGGTAGTGTCCAGCACTAATTGGCAAAATGAGAGACGCGGCCTCCAATGAGGACCTGCGGGAGCGTTGGCGGACCGCGCTGCTCAGCTCAGGACTAGATAATCAACTCTGGGCGATCCAGCAGGCCAAAGAAGCTGCTGAGAGACATGATCTCTCAACCAGCTCCTAAGTGTGAACCCAGCCCGGTAACCTGCAGGAAGTGAATAGAGTTGTTCACTCACTCACGTTGAATGTTCTTAAAAACGTTCTGTGGGTGGTCTTGATAAAAGATTCAAGCCAAAAATTATATGGTATACACATTTTCTAAACCTTGAACTCTTATTTCTGAAGTCTTCAGGTCATTATGGTCTCTGATAAATAAATATAAAACATTAATTCTCCCTTTTGTGCTACAAGGATAGACGCATCAAAGACGAGGTAATGTAGAAACTGTTTAGACGGTAGTGAGCTTGGAACACTTCCGCTCTCTGAAATGTTCGTGCGCATCAACCAGACCAAACAACTGCATGCAAAATTTTTTTATTGGCATCTTCTACACTGCAAGTAAAAACAACAAGAAAAGTGTAAGGTAAACATGACATCCTGCTTCCCAGCAATTTATCATATTGCCACTAATACAGGTGATCTTCATAACTAGATAGTGCTGCAATTCAGACCCAATTAAAGACATGCCATTCATACTGTCTCAATGACTGCCTCATTTGTAGCTGCTGAAAAGTATTTAACAGACACTTAAAGCACATAAGGAAGCATTCGTGGTGCTTTTTAGTAGAGTAAGAGTACTTACCAAGAGCATCAGCGCAGCTAGAGCGACTGTGACCAGCCACAACAACCTCTCAAAGCCAGTCTATGCTTGCAGAGGCAACAGACATAGTGCACACGAAACCAGGACACCACTTCGCATCCACATATTGATTCTCTACACCTGCACTATAGTACAGTAGCCATTTATACACTGCAATAATGTACAACCATGGTCAAATGTGCCAATAAATGCTATTAAAAAAAAGCCATCAGGTTCACGCAACCATGTTATGGGCGGGCATGAGCCATTCACTGCAGCAACCTTCAAAACCATAAAGTTGCTCTAGCACAAGTTGTTGGTTGCACAGCAGTCAATCAAAAGACTTCCATAGCGAAGCAGAGTCCTTCTTTTAGCAAACACAAAACACCGTGCATGTGCACCTACTGAATCAGCTTGCCAAATAAGGCTCCACATGACACAAGTCAAGAAAACTACATGCTAGATGCAAAGCTACTCGCCTTCATGACGATTTCCCTTACTTCCTATTTCTGAAATGAAAAGGACTCACCACCACCGCAAGTATATGGCTAAATTGTGCTTAGCTTTCTTTTCAACTTGTGATCACTAACAAGTCACTGACACTTCTTTAGAAACTTTGTAGAACACGATAAGTAAACACTCATTACCCGATACTTGATTTTATGCTCCGGCTTCACTACAGCCCCAGTATACTGATTGCAGCATCTATATGTCACCCCTATGCAATATTTATTTTATCCTTCCTTAGTATTCCAGTGCGATTTGTTAAGCTATCGTACAATTTTTAATCTCAGTAACCGGAACTCCCAAGTGACGTTTTAAAAGCAAACACTATAACACCATTTTTAAAGGCAAAGATAAAGTTTACCACAGCTGCAGTCTAGCTCGGTCCATGGTCTCGTCACAAAATGCATTTATCTAAATCCATAGGCCTGTTTATATCAAATACTAGCTGTGGCTGTAATGAAGGGCATAAATCTAACGGCGAAGCAATCAAGCACTCCTAGATGACAGCGCAGAGTAGAAAACAAGGGCAGAGAAATCCCACTAACTATAATGTGCACCGACACTTATGTGACATAGTTAAAATAGTATGCCAGGTCACTTGTCAATGCTGTGTCTGATGGCATTGTTGGATGGGTCGATTACGTGTTTGCACTTGACACATTAGCACCATCCTTCTGCTAGTGTGTGTGTGTGTGTGTGTGTGTGTGTGTGATTGAGATAAGAGGAGTCGCTTCTGAATTCCTTTAGCCAAACTCCACTGCTGTCTCTGATGCTTGATTCTGACACTTCTGGGGCACCAAATAGAAGAGGCACTAGCTGTATTATAGCTCGTCGCCAGGAATCTTTTTTTAGGGTGAAGGGCACTTGTTTCAGGCCTTGAAGAACGCCCATTTCATTATTATGGGCAAAACAACCCCTCCCACCCAAATTTAGGGGGTGGGGGTGCCCTAGGGCATCTCTCCGACTACGGCCCTGCTGTAGACGCTCAGTATCTTCGGAGCTGGCAATGAATCTGATTTTTAAAAATTAAGAGGTATCCTAGCAGAAGAATGGTTCGCTAAGATCACCTAAATGTAGATGTACATCAGGATGGCAGAAATCGCAACATGCAGCCAATGAAAAAGCGTGATGAAAAGAAAAAAAAAACAATTATAACACTATGAGCACCCACCAAAAATGCTATGGTGTTGGTACTGTCAAACCAGCTTCATCAGAATCCTTTGTTCATCCTGTGGCATAATTTGTTACACTGTGGTTAATATAATTTTTTATATTGGGTGTAGCAGCTTCACAGAAGCAAGACTGACAAACAGTACGAGCATGCATTAACACTGTGTTTCATGAATGCATGACACAATACACCGAGATGCTGAAATTGTCACAGAGAAGTGCACCCTCTCTTGAAGAAAAATTCGATTAATCTTACATGGCACTCTCGGCACACCTACTAACAGCTTCAAACAAGTGTCCTCGAAGTATTTTATAGTTGCAGCCATGCAATAAAAAAAATGGAGGTTTATATTTACAAGCAGTGCTATTTACACAATACACACAGCATGCAGTGCTTCTCGCAAAAGTGGTCACTACAACTGCCCAAGTTCAAACTAATGCCAACAACTGCTTTTAGAACGAGATTGTTTCTTGGACATACCTAGAGCTTAGATTACTTGACAAAGTTTGGCCAGAAATTATCCTATAGCGAAACGCACTATACCAATCATTCAATTCATCACTCAAGAATATGTGCAGGGAGACTTCGCAATAGTTCACATACCAATTGGCACAACGAGTGACAAGATTACATGGCAATACTAGCTGGGAATCGCCGTTAATTGCTGCCCATGTGTGGCACCCTTGAAAACTGAAGTCTTTTCACAGTGGTCTGACCAATAAAAATGAGACGGCACAAACAATGTCCTCAAATTATACTCACGGAGAGTGCCCACAAGAGGTCTCAATGCAGAATAGGCATGCATGTGTCCTCTGCAGACTAACAGCTTTTACTGCTTTTAAGTTATCCACCTGTACCAAATCTGCAAGCATCGGCAGCACTTCCACACGTGCAACGGCAAGAACTCTGCTCAGCAATGACTTCAGTTCCTTGGGGCATTGAACCACACTTAATGTTACCTTCTGCATCACAATCTGCGTAGCAAGCTGCTACTGCATTGAAGATTTGCAGTCAGCCTTTTGTAGCACTCGAGTAGCACACTAGATGGGTGGACAAGTCTACAAGGCCTGAAGCACAGAGCCTGCACGGCTTGACAAAAGTTCAAAGGGCCAGCGTCCAAACACAAGGTCCAATCAAGGTGGTCCTTAGAATGGCATGGCCGCCTCTCCTACGACATGTTTCACATCGCTGCAAGGGGCAGGAAGACCTTAGCATACGCACACTGGAAAGGCGTTCCCTCAGACCGTTGGCTTCAGTGAAAAGGAGAGCTTTGGTCGCACACGGCCCTTGTTCAGGATGACCTGCTGGTCGAGGCGCATTTTCTTTTCCTGCTCCTGTTCCAACTGCCTGCGAGCCTCATCAATCAGCCGACGCTCCTCGACCATTGCCAAACGTTCTTCCGCCTGCACATGCAAGCTCACATCAGTCATTCGCTATCACCAATGGTTCATGATCATTTGAAATGATTCATGGTACGAGTAGGTATATGTTGACTATATGATGAACAGCCTCTCCCCAGTCACCTTAATGCACCTGCCAAGTGCAACTCAGCTATAAATAGTGTTCACCCATCTTCGGCCCACACTGTGTTATACAGTTTCGCCTACTTATACTGATCCAAGATATAGTGATCCATCAGTTATAATGACCACATATCGGTGCACTTTCAATTTTCCTATGCTGCCTATGAAGCTCAATTCAGTTATACCGAATATTTCTTTAATGCCTCCTACTTTTACAACAAAGGGCACATGGCATCGCACACCAGCGTGTTCATTGTTTAACCTGGTGTGCGCTGCCATATGTCCTAATGACTTGCCAACTAGCGAACTTCCGACACAGTCACGATAAAAATATGGCATGGCGTGTTCAAAGCGAAAAAAAAAAAAACTTAAACAGGCCTTCAAAGCATGTGAGAGGCGCGCGCTTATGTGGGACCCGCTGCAGTTTACTAGCGACGAAAATATCGCAGTCCACCCCATGCACTGCACCCAGCTTTCTGAAGCTATAAACAAGAACACTCATTTTCTAGGAGTTTCCTCACTGACAGGATGGCAGTGAGAAAAAAAGAAAAATAGGAGGCAGCATGAAGACTTGTGGTCAGCTTCCGCATGGTAAACTTCTGATGCCGTTCTCCGCATCTACTACTGCTAACAATAAACCAAACCTTGGTTTTAAACACAAGGAGCATCCAAACACACAAGGCGAGAAGGAACAAAGCCAAGTACAACGAACTCAAGTCAACCACTTCACGGACAATGCCCGACTTATTACTCAGAAAGTAAGAAATAAAAATACATATAGCTTAAAGAAAAGTAGTTCACAGTGGTATCGGATTCCTTTATTTGTAAAGACTTGTGAAAGCTAACAAATGCAAACATTCACACCAAACTCGCTTCGTTCAACCAGATCTTAGGACGCCCGGCAACCACGACGAGCTTGCATGTTCCTCGAAACCGAAACTAGCACAGAGTTTCCAGGGCCTGATGATAGTAATAACACTCTTGAAAATGGGTACATAGAGAATCCCAGATATATCAAACTCTGATATATTAAATTATTGGCTATGTCAAACAGTTGAATTCCCTGAAACAACTCATGCAACAATACAAGGCTGATGCACACGTATATCGAACCTCTGCACAGTGAAACAGCCAATATATCAAACACTGTACCACGCTAAAGCCCACAAAGTGCATATTTCCTAATATATATGACTATTTTTCAATCGCATCCCAACTACCGTATATACTCGTGTAAGGGCCGCCCTCGTGTAAGGGCCGCACCCCAACTTTGAAAGCGGATATTTCGAAAAAAAAAAAAAAACAAAAGTTCAAAATGTCCCGCCAGAAAAGTGTAGTTAGTTCATTTACAGCCAGATGGCGCTGCACGCTTTTCCGCTTTTATTCTACTTCCGCCGACGCGCCGACCACGCTGTTGACAGCGCGCCGCCATATTTGCCTTGTGCGGCCTCTTTGTTGGCATCGTTCCTAGCATCGTGTCGATACGTTGGCAGCGCGACTTCAGATCGGTGTCGTCGGTGTCACTTTGTTGGTTGTAGTGAACCCTGCAGAAGCCAGCGCACGTGACGGACGATGGGCCGGCATCTGAGATCATTCACTGCAGCATTTAAGCTGCAAGTGATTGACTATGCCGAGGAGCACGGGAAGCGGGAAGCTGGACGAAAGTACGACGTCGATGAGAAGCGCGTGCGTTACTGGATGAATCAGAAAGATGCCCTCGCCGCTACTAACAGGAGCCGAAAGGCGTTTCGCGGGAAAAAGTGCAAGTACCCGCAACTCGAAAGCGAGCTCGTCAACTACGTCGTCGACACACGAAGGGACGGCTACGCCGTATCGACTGACATGATACGCGTCAAAGCCCTCAGCATCGCTCGCCACATGGAAATACCCCCGGCACAATTCAAGGCAAGTCGGGGCTGGGCTACGCGGTTTATGAACCGTAACCAGCTTTCTATTCGGCGCCGAACGACGATTTGCCAAAAACTGCCGCGCGAGTACGAAGACCACGTCATTAAGTTTCATCGCTTCGTGAATGCTCTCAGGAGGGAGCATGAATACGACCTGTCCCAAATTGGGAATGCGGACCAGACACCTGTGTGGTTCGATGCACCGGAAAGCACCACAGTGGATTTAAAAGGTGCGAAAAGTGTGTCTGTGCGCACGACTGGTGCAGAACGCCAAAGGTGCACTGTGATGTTGTGCATCACGGCAGACGGCAGGAGGCTTCCGCCGTACGTCGTATTTAAAAGGAAGACTCTCCCAAAAGAGAAGTTCCCTCAGGGAATCGTCGTACGTGCGCAAGAGAAGGGCTGGATGTCCGAGGAACTGGTCGTTGACTGGATTAAGACCGTCTGGGCAAACAGACCTGGAGGGCTGTTACAACGGAAAGCCCTCCTTGTTTTGGACAGCTTTAGGGGCCACTTGACCGACCGCGTCAAGAACCGAGTTGCCGCAACTCGTACGGACTTGGCCGTCATTCCCGGTGGCCTGACGAGTGTGCTGCAGCCGCTCGACGTATGCGTCAACAGACCATTCAAAGTGGAATTTCGCCGATGTTACTCTGAATGGATGGCTGGAGGCGTCCACGAGAAGACCCCTACAGGACGGCTGAAGCGGGCGTCGCTCCAACAGGTGTGTGAATGGATTTTGAATGCGTGGCGTGCCATGTCAGTAGAAGTAGTTGCTAAAAGCTTCAAGGTAACGGGAATTTCGAACTCCATGAACGGCACCGAAGATGACCGTCTCTGGGAAGACGCGGACGCCGAGGCGAGCTCCTCCGAGAACGAGGACAGCGAAATGGAATCCGAATAAAAACATTTCTGGCATGTCATTTGTGACTCTTGCACTCTGCTACTGTTGCATAAACAGTACAGACCTTTGGCCTGTACTGCCTGTACTAAATCGGCCTGATTCGTGTAAGGGCCGCACCTAGCAAAATTTTCGAAAAAAAAGTGCGGCCCTTACACGAGTATATACGGTAGTTCCGATCCCTTTCTTTTTTCCTCAGCTTATATGGCAAAAAGGCTTGAAATGTGCGCTGCAAGTATTGAGCTGCTTGTGTTCTTAACGTGGGTTTGGAATTTGTTGTTGTTGCTAAAACAATGCACAATAAACACTCAATTACCTCTGTGAAGACGTTTCACTTTCGTGTTATACCGATTGCTATATAGAGGGATCAGCCACATTTTTTCTCTCTCTCTCTCTCTCTCTTTAATGCAGACAACCATGTTGTTACTACTCTGGAGATGCCAGACTAAGTGCCGATGGAAACTCTCCAACACCACGATGACAACGATGGATCATAGGAGGTCAATTCATCACACACCTTGCAGTCTTGCGCTGCGAGTTCGCAGGACTGTAGCCTTCACGTTTAGGCGATTGACTCTGGTAACACGACGGCGCATTGAATGCATTACAATGAAAGTGATAGCAACAAATTGTAATGATGTATGGAATAAAGCTGGCAGCCAACTCTTTTGGATCCGATATTGAGGAACCCCTACAAAATGGTGTAAGCAGATATGATCGCTCCAGGGAGGAGTGCTTTATTAACACCGTCTCTTCGCCTTTTAACACCGTCTCTTCTTCGTGCTATCTCTTCGCGAGATAGCACACACCCTAGCGATTGCGAACATGCCCTTAGAATCAAAGGTCGGTGTTGCACTCTAGCCCAACTTAGCCTACTTAGTCTACCTCGTCATCTGAATTAGTGCTACAGTCAAACTCCGCTACAACGAAAGCCGCTTCAACGAAAACTTCACGGTTTCCTGTCAGCAGTCCATAGGAGTCAACGCATAAATATTGTCACCACAACGAAATATTTTTGTTCTGCTGTCCTGCTTCAATGAAATTTCACGATGCAATGCCAGGCTCAGATATTCATTGCTATACAGGAAACCCAATCTTTAACACTGTGATGCATTTTGAGAAACCCCAAATACGTCGACGAAGTCTAAAACACGCGTTGGCACTACAGGAAACCGCCGCTACTGAGCATGGGCACTGCTCGATAGCGATGGCAATGAGACTGCCCTGCTACGTTCAGGATGGCCATGCTTTTACCACTGGCTTGCTTTCGAGCCGCAGACGATCCGAAGCCAAAGCTCAGTCACTCTGTTCATGGTTTTCTTACAACGGCGGAGCAATACCTTTTCTGATTCCAATACTTATCATTTTATTTGCGCTTGGCCAGTCTGATACCTAATCAGAGCTGCTGTTCGTCCGCATTATCAACCAAATCAGCTAGCTGTGAATGATGGATGATAAGAATGGTATAGAATAAGGCAGAAGTCACCGCTCCACGATACCCTGCCTTCATCTCGACATTGCCGGACACACATGACGGCGGACGGCTGCTGGTGTTAACGTGCTAATGCAACTGTTTTGTATGTTTACGAAAGCGGTTGTAGGCGTTGTTTCAGCGTCGTTTTCCCCATAGCCTCGCTATGCATGACTGTAAATCGCGTCATGACGCCGCTGGGAAAGAATAGGAAGCAGCAGATACTTTTTTATTTTAAAAATAAACGTGCCTTTGTTTTGCTAGCTCAGATCAGATATATTTTTTCAACTTCACTACAATAAAATTCTCCCTTCAACGAAATATTTTCCGCGCCCCGTGAGTTTCGTTGTAGCAAGGTTCGACTGTAGAACAATCTTCTTCAACTCCATGTGGTGGTGGTGTACGGTCGCTGTCGCGAGAACTGATGTAGAGCTCCGCGAGGACAGCGAGAGCTTCGGTGGCCTCCTCCACAGTGCGATGTTGTGTCGGCTCATCTTGAGTCTCATCACCGGAACAGTGAGTCTGATCCTCTTTAAGCACTTCCAATAATTTGCGATAATCAGTCAGTAAACCACCAACAGCCACACCGTCCTCAACAGGC